AGTAAGTCACACAATTGCATATTTAAAAGCTGAACGGAATTCTTATTTGAAGAGCAAGGAATTAACAGGGCTCAAGCAGTGGCCATTGCTTGCCTGCTGTACCGATCTTTTCAGAGAAAGCATCTTGGTAAAATACGCAATGATAACAAGGAAAGCTCCTTTGGGGACCCAGGAGAAAAGGGAAACGCAAATTTATGTCAAACACTGAACATGAATGGGAGGAAACATCACACAAATACCAAAAAAAAAAAAAACCTTTAAAAGGTAAACATAAAAGAAATACCTGGCTAAATTTATCTCTTTGTCAGTAAAAAACAGCCCAAGTCTTATCCAAGTGGGTTGTCAATTCTTAAACTGAAGGAAAAGACAGAAACGCTCACTACAGAGTAGCACCATCAACCAGAACTTTCTGTGAGAATGAAATAGCCTACATCTGTGCTGTCCAATTTAGGGGCCAATAACCACACACGGCTCTAGAGCACTTGAAAGGTGGCTAGTGAGCCTGAGCAAGTGCATGTTTAGTTTTATTTCATTTATTTACATTTAGACGTAAATAGCCACACGTGGCTAGCGGCTACTCTAGCCACAGACAGCTCAGCTACAGACACCACAGCAAACAGCAGACAATGTCTTTCCTTCCTACAATAAAATTACAATCGTAATCAGCCAATAATACCTTAAACTGTCACCAAAATTAGTGCTACTACACAGGCCCCAGCCACCCCAAACTCACAGAAAGCTTAAAAGAAAAAGAAAAAGATAAAAGACTGAAGAAAGTGATTCTATTGTGTCATTTCTTGCACCTTTGCTCCGCCTATCCAGCTTAGATCCCTACTATACTACGGCTTCACGCATTTGGAAATCTGTGCTTGTAGACAGAATCCGCATTTGCGAAATCAGAACGTCACAATCTCTCCCCTTAACGTCTGGGAGATATGAAAACATGAACTTAGGGCAAGTTACTTAACCTCGCTAAGCTTCAGTTTCCTCAAGGCTAAAGTGCAGATAATAGTACTCGCCTCTCGTGAGGATTAAACTCAGAAAACGCAGATAAAGTGCCTAACAGTGCCCGGGAAAGAGTAAGCACTCAGCAAGTGATAGCTATAATTATTATTTTGTTAGTAACAATAGTGAAATTTATAATAAAATAAGAATGGTGCTGCTACAATGAAAGTTTACAGTTGGCAAAGTTTTCGGGGGACCAAACACTGTGAACTTGTCTCCCAGGCTACGGGAAAGTGGCCTCTAGTAAAATACACCTTGGGGCCTTGACATTTTGGCACTCGCTGTCACTCTCCAGAAAGGCAATCCCCCAGATGGGCACCATGAGTCACAAGAATCATTCAGCCAACATTTTCTGTGCCCCTGTACAATAAATGCACTGTACCAGGCTGTTGGATGAGAACTGTCCCCAAACACAGTGCAATGTCTCAAGTCTCTACACCACCTGTCATCTGACCCCAGCAATTCTTGGTCCCCACAGAGACACCTTGGCGAGATGTAAAAATCTCATCCTGGGGTCCCGCACAAGCAGGAAGGCTCAATTCCTGTTTCCTGGACCAGCCAAGACCAAGTTCAGCTGCTGGCCCACAGAAAGGACTAAGGTGTAAGGGGACCTGCGGGAGACTGGCCCATTTTCCCAGGCAGGACAATAAGAGGGGTGCTGACAGGCCACGTTTCTCACTGACAGGCCAAATCACTTTAACAGGAAAGCTGTTCTCTGAGCCTTCAAAAAGCCAAATCTGATCTGCCTCCCAAAGCAAAAACAACCGCTTTCAGCAGCCAGCTGCCCAGGCCGGTGAAATCCAATGGGAATCTTCACCAAGTTCACATCCACCAGAGCAATACCCCAAGAATCCCCCAGGAGTTTCTAAGCAGAAGTTTAGTGGAATTCTGTGGGGCTTGGGGGTTATTTTTCTTCATACAGAAAGCACTCAATCAATCTTCTTTCACAACCAAGGGTACATTCCCCTATGGAATTCCCTTCTCTGAAGATCTCTAAAAATGAAATATTTGTCTATCATCTGCAATAGTTTTAAGCGTAAACCCATTTACTGGCAGAGTCAGGGATTTCTCACAGCTCCTCCACCTACGAAAACAACACGTTCCAGACTGTCTCAGGTGGTCTCCATTTCTGGGTCCCTCTAGCTCCAGAACACTAGTCAAATCACGCTCTTGACTTTGGGATAGGAAAATAGGGTTATAGTATCTGGAATCTCATACTCGTATTCTTTGCTGGTGGGAGTGTAAAATGGTATAACCACTTTGGAAAAAGGTCTGGCAGTTTCTTACAAGGTTCACATACATCTCTTCTATGACCCAGCAACTCCACACTTAGGCATTTACCCCAAAGAAACGAGAACAGTTATCCCTAGGAAGACTTGTACACAAATATTCATAGCAGCTCTGTTCACAATACCCCCCAAAATAGGAGTAACTCATGTGTCCATCAACAGGGGAATATACTATATAAACAAACTGAGGTATGGACATAGCCTGGAATATAACTCCACAATAGAAAAAGACCAAATTACTGGTACATACAACATGGATGAATCTCAAAACCATGCTGAGTGAAAGAAGCTTTACACAATACTATAGAATTCCACTTATACGAAGTTAAAGAACAGGCTAAACTAACTTAAAATGAGAAACCATCACAGCAGTGGTTGCGACTGATACGGTCGGGGCAAGGACTGACTGGGAATGAGGACGAAGGAACTTTCTGGGATGATGGTAATAGTCTCCATTTTGATAGAGACCAGGGTTACACAAGGTATAAGCATCTGTCAAAGTATTATGAAAACGGTACTCTCAAGATTGGTGCATTTCACTATATGTACACAAATTTTACCTTAAGAAAATCATGAACATATACTGAACTCCAAATAATAAAACGTGTGCTGAAATGTTTAGGAGCGACCTGGACCAATGTCCATAATCTACTTTAAAACACATAAAACAGTAAGTTGTACTGATGGATGGGTAGAGGGATGAAAAGACGGATAGATGCACAATAAAGCCAGTATTACAAAATCACAGACTCTAGACATAGGTATTTGGGTGGTCACTCTTCTTACAACTTTTCTATATGTTTAAAATGCGATGGGCAGGGGAAAGAGTCACAGTTAGCCTACAAGTTAGAAATTTGGCAAGACACCCATGCCCACCAAGCCACAGGCCCACAGAGTTCCAATCCTGCTGAAAAGTGAAGACTGGAAGAACACAAGTAGCTTTACAGGAACTCACATCACTCATGCCAAAGATTTTCTGCCTGTTTCCCTGCACACAAAGCAATTATTTGAATGGAAGCCAAAAATTCCTGCTCAAGAGGGAGAAAAAGAACTCAGTGACTTGTATGCCCAATTTGTTCTCTTTCAATTCCTGCACCAAATCTATTAGCCAACTGCACCACACTCCACTTCCATTTGCCCCAGGTCCATGCAGCCAAAAGACAAACAAAGGAAAACCAACCCAGGGACTTGTTACACAATGCAGCCAGAGGATGACGTCCAGGGCCAGAACCCCACTAAAGGCAAAAGAGGATGCAGAGCTGGGGCTGAGGTTAAAGTGATTTCACTGAGGTTAGCACACACATGCACCGAAGAGCCCCAACCAGCTTGTTGTTTAACCCCTTTGTGGGGTTTGGTGACATCTGGGGTCACTAGAACTTCATAGGGAATTCAGCTGTTCAGAGGTACAAATTAGGAGTCCCGGTGGCCAGGGACACGTGGGGTGCACAGCTCGCCCTACCACAGGCCCACAGGTCGCTCACATTACCCCGCCTTCCTTCCTGGCAGGGCCTCACTTATCCTGAGATGACACACTGTGGCAGTGGCTGAAGGAGCCTAGCCTGACTGCTCGTCCAGCATCTGAAAACAGCTGTACCAGTTACAAGAAGGGACTGTTGCTGGAAACCAGGGCAGCCACTCAAACATCGGGATTTGTGCCAGACTTTTTTAAAAAATACTTTTGGTTTGTTTCTTTTTAAGCCTCCGAACAAACTCACTGACACCACCCAGCGTCCCTGGGGATCACCCACAACCACATAAGGGCAGCCCTGAGAGAGCAACCGGGAGGCAGCAGGGAGCGCGCCTGGGTCTAGCACCTTGGCCTCCACGCGGTTCTCGCTGCCAAAGACGGCGATACCCTAGGTGAAGGGCATCAGCTCTGGCTCCGGAGCGGGGTGCGTGTGCCTGACAACGCGGCTTCCTGAAATATACGCCGCCGCCACCCCGCCCTGATCCGCACCCACCCCGGCGTCCCTTGAGCCTAGGAAAGTGGGTTAGGACGGGGGAGGAAACCCCCTTACACAAGGGGAGATGCCCGGTTTCAGTGCCGGGGACTCCCCGCGCCCCGAGTTTCTGAGCCTCTAGAGGCTGCGGCGCTTCCTCTGAACGCGCGGCACGTCTGCTCCCACCCATCCCGCACCCCTGTCCCGGCAACAAATCCACCTCCCAGGGCGCACGCAGAAGGGCTGCCCGAGCCGCCTCCACTCCACCCGACCCCAGCCCACCTCACCCCTCCCCGCCCCAGCCTCTCGCCCTCCTGAACCTGGACTCCTTGGCCAGCTCCCGCCTGGTCTTTGTCGAGGACCCCCTGCAGCAGTGTCCTAGACCCACCTGTAGCCTTGAAGCTTCCTCTCCGCTTCCGTCCTAGGGGCCCCCGAGCCTGCAGATCCCGTGACCCCCAACAGACTGCTCTAGGGTGCCTCTCCCCTCGGCGCGCCAGGGATGATTATTTTTTTGTTTTTCAAAAAAGTTGGCCCAAGACCTCTGTGTCCCATGAATCGCGGCCCGACCCCATCCAACCCGGTCTGGGGGTGCGCGGGGCCGGGAGGTGGCCCTCTGGAAACCCTGACGCCTGGGAAGCACGCCCCAGCCCCGGCAACCTGCAGGGAGGCGCCACGCGGAGCTCCCCTGCCCCCCGGGGTCCCGGTCCGCCGGGCCAAACGGAGGGTCCCGTGCCCGCCCACACCCCAAGTCCTGCCGCGCGCTCACCTACCGTTCAGGACCAGCCGAGAAGAAGACGCGGGCGCGGGCTCCCGGAGACAGCGTGTTCCGTCCCGGGAGGAAAGTTTGTGCCATACAGAGGAGGCGGCGCGGGGAAGGCGTGGGCGCCAGCGGGTGGGGACCGGGGGGGGGGCGGCGCGGCGTGCTCGTGTGTCTGTCCCTCTCGCGACCGGTGCGTCCGTCCCTCCGCGGAGCCCGCGGCCGCCGCGCTCCCGCTCGCTGCGCCCTGAGCCCGGCGCGCTCCGGCTCCAGCCCCGACGCGCCCCCGCCGCCGCCGCGCGTCCGCCGGCTACACTTCCTCTTCCTCTGAACTCATGTGCAAAATATGCTGTGCTGCATCTTCTGGGGAGCCGCGCGGCCCCTGACAGCCGCCGCCGGAGCAGCCGGCCCGCCCCGCGCCCCCGCGCACCCGGCGCCCCCTCTGCGCCCCGCGCCACCGCCTCCACGCGGCCGGCAACCTGCGCGCCGCACACGCCGCCACCCCGCGAGCGGTCCTCGCTGCCCCTCCGCGCGGAGGTGCGAGGCTCGCAGACCCGTCCTCTGGACCCCTCCTGACCGAGCTTCTGTGCGTCAGGAGCGCGCGTGAGGGACTGAGATCCCTCCAAATTTGAGTGGGGTTGCTGAAGGTGCTGATGGCTAGGGGGTGCGAGGACCCTTAAGAGCGGACCATTCCTCCTCCCCATTCCACAGGTGGGCCCATCCCCGGGCATCTAAGTTATTTCTTGGGAGTTAGTGCTTAGAAAGAGGGACAGTGCCCCTGTCCCCTTTCCACTCTCTATTCCACCTACTTCTGGTGTCCAGAAGGTTTGAGAAGATCTCGGGAACCATCCTGGCCTGCAACGTTAGGCCACCCAAAGTGACAATCAAATCACATACATAAATAAAGCGCCAGGCCACGCCTGCGGTTAGTAAGGTGAAGACTTCAGGCAGTGAGCCCATTAGAAAACCTTTGCTTCTTGGAACTTTTTAAACAAGGCAAAATTACAGTGTAGGGGTTAAGAGCAGGAACGGGAGAACCCAACAGTCAGGGTTGGCCTCCTGGCCGCCATACTTATTCCCTGTGTGACTTGGGTAAGTGACTTAACTGCTCTGGGCCTGTTTCCTCATTTGTTAACTATAGCTTCCTCATGGGTTTTGTATGTAAAGTGTTTCGGGAGCACAGTATGACTTAGCTCTTATCATTATTAGTATTAGCAGTAATAGTATTATAAGGGGACTGGAATAAGACAGCTGAAATTTTCTAATTAATTATCCGCATTTTCCATCGGGCAGAGGGGGACTTAGGGTCGAAGCCCAGAGGGTTCAGCCCACAGGAGAGCTGGTTGGGGCCCTACAGTGTTTTAATGACGTCCTTCTGGTCCTAATAGCACCCCCCAGGGAGTAAGGAAGCACTATTTTGTTTTCAGGAATTCCTCTTGTTACCATAGCTTCTCCGCGATTTTCTTCCTTGTTTTCTTTTTCCGTAGCTATCCCAGTTCTGTGTTCCTTCCCCCTCCCCCACCACCCTTTTGTTTTTGTTTTTTTGTGCCTTTCACTTTCCACCCCACCACTTGCTGGCATCACTCACCACCAGCACCTCCAGTTTCCCCCGCTCTCTCTAGGCTTGGCGTGCCATCTGGGAGAAATTAGCAAGATTAGGTGAGGGCCCAAGCCCAGCTTCAGACGGTCGTGTGTGGGGACCAGTGCCCAGTGGCGTCACCCATGGTTTTGAACACCCACCTGTGAGGCCAAAAGCAGAGATCTTCATGTGATTTGTCTGCCTGAGGCCTCGAGTTATTGCAAGGCAAGGCCCATTTGGAATCTTTCTGATCCTTTCTGATCCTTACACTGTGGAAAGAAAATAACATTTATAGGTGTTAGCTGGTAGTTCAAAAGCAAGCATGGAGTATTGAAAAGAAGATAAAGAGAAAAGGGGGGGAAATAAAGCATAACGTGATTGGGGGAGGAGGTTGATTTCTTTTAAGCAAATCATTTCCCCTCTGTAAAATTTTTGCACATAAATTTTTTTTAACACCAGGTCCTTGAGGTTAATAAGTTATTCTGATTGTTTCCATTTTCTCCCACTCAGCATTTTCCTGAGTACCGACAGAGTGTAAATGTCTTAACTATCTTTTCTCCCTGTTGGATCTTCATTTTTTAGGGTTTTCTAGAACTCACGGCCTTTCCCGCTAGATATTCTGACTCTTCTGACCTGGTACATAGTAGGTGTTCAATAAACATTTATGGGATAAATGGATGAGTAATTAGTGTACAGGTCTGTTAAGGCTCTGTGTAACCTACATTGAACGATTATCCGGAGTATTCTAATTCTCATTCACCTGGAATATCCAATGAGGAGCCAATGTTGGGTTCATGTGTGTTGTGTAGAGGTCAACCTCGATTTTCCACTTGGCTGCCATGGACCCGCCAGCCAGGGGATGGACCCTGGGCAGCTGGGACTCACCTCTGACTGACCTCGCCTACCCAGCATCAACCCCAAAGATGCTGGAACTGTATCCTGGTGGGTTACCTTGGCAACCTCACAATGTCATCTGTTAGAATGTCCTAGGGCGGCAGCTTTTAATTCTATCACAGCAGTCTCATCGGGGGTCATGTAATAGTGCTGCTTTTCCTCTGCTCACACTTCCTCCCCCTATGATTTAACACTAAGTACTTGGGGAGGGAGCCGAACACGGGGAAAACCAAGCTATTACAGCACGACAGGTCACAGATGGCCCCAGAACTGGGATCCCGAGCATTCCTGTCGATAAAACGCAGGCCTCAAGTTGATGGGGAAGCTGGTTCTCCTCATACCGCCCCCGTGGAAGGGAGAGGAGTTAAGCCAGCCTAGACGAGTGTAAGAAGCAGCCGTGGGCAGCCTGTACAATTCTTGTAAAAGCTCAGTGGAAGGAGTCTCCCGCAGGAGCAATTCTCTCTCGTGGCCTCAGCAGCATTGCCCCACTCTGGAGATGATTAGGCCGTGGGTAGCAGCAGCCGGAGCAATTTTGCTGCATCCCAGCTCCACTGAGGCTTGGAGGGAAGGAGAATCCCAGCTAACCCTCTATTCTACCCATCTTCTTTCCACCCCCAACTGTACGCCGCGATTTCACCATGCTCAGCCCCCCTCCTAACTTAACTCAAAATAACTCAGTCCCCCATTATTTTGTAGACAGCAGTAATAACTTGTGCAGAAAACGGACCCATCAAAACCTTCGGAACCTGAAGAGCTCTTGTCCTAATTGTTTATTTGGTGGACCACGAAACCCGGGTGTCACACAGGGCAGTTGGAACAGCAACATATCAGGGCTGATGGGAGGGATAAGCAAACTCATGTATGCCCTGGAGGTACAAGAATTAGTCATCTTTATCATCATGGTTAATATTTTAAGTGAGTTTGCAGCCACAGTGAGATCACAGTTTGGCCAACTGCTCCATACTAAATGGCTGCAGGAAACTGGCCCCGTGTAGGGTGACACTCATTCCTAGAAGGAGGCGTGATGGCAGGGGCCGGAGTTCTGTGCCCCAGAGCCAGTGGTTTCAGAGGAGCCGCCTGCCCTTTGTTCATTGTGACAGGCACAGCCCTCACAGACACGCCCTGGGCAAGACTGCGGCACCCCTGGTCACACTGGAGCAGGGCACGTTTGTGCCAGTGTCTAAACATGCGCTGGAAGCCCCTCGGCGGTGTGGGAGTGTGAATTGGGGTGGGGGCAGGGAGCTGTTAGGGTATTTTACATGTACGCAGTGATTGGCCCAGGCCAGAGACTTTTGTCCAAAGTCTAGTCAAACTAATACTTTGCGAATGCCACCCACGGGCATCACCAATTTGAGGAAATGTTGGATGACTGCCAAATGTTCCATTCATCCTGTTACAAAAAAATATATATTGTTATTCTGCTCCTGATTCCACTCCTCATTTACCTCTGAATTCCCAGTCTGTCAGACACACAGTTCAGGGGAGCAGGGGCCCTCCTGTGGCTGAGATAGAATTTGCTCTCTGGAGCAAAGAGCCATGAGTCTGAATTCCAGGAATACTGTGTCTTCACACTGCTGTCCGCAGCTTGGTCCCCTCACGCAGCCCAAGGAACCCTCTGGCTTTCCCAAAACCCTTTCACATCCACACCCCTTCATTGGTTATTCCATTCATGGGGCATATCGACTTGCATTTATGACAAATTTTATTGCCAAAGATAGAACGTATATATATAAAGGAACCCTATATATTCCTAGGTGTCAAAAAACAGAGATCGTGGAACTAAATCATTAAATAAATGGTGGGATAATATTTTGATACATTCATTGATATGAATCCCCTTCTGCCACCACTCCTTCCCCTTCCCCCACTGTATTTCTTATTACGCTATACTGACTCCTCCCACCAATTTAGACAGTTAGAGAAGACATAGTTTGCCAAAGGGAGAGATATCATGACAATACCAGAAAAAAAAAAAAAAAAAAAAAAAACCCTCCAATTCTTGGCTTTTGAGTTTCAAAAGTCAAGGTCCAAATATAAAATGAAAAAGATAGGGAAAAATAGGAAATCAAGTATAACTATTGTCCCCTAGCATGTCTCCTTTCCTTCCCCTACCCGCCCACTATCCCATACACACATACCTCCCAAGAATAGATTAAAGTTGCCTGATTGCAGCAGGGAGAGCCAGAGAGGATGTGTCCATAGGGAACAGTTGGTAGGACTCAGGGACTGACCAGAGCCAGAATTCAGAAACCCACCTCCCTCCAGTCACAAGAGAATCATCCATCCGTAATACTTGGGAACCCTGTGGACACCTGGACCACAACTCTTGGACCTTGTCCAGGAGGATCACTATAGATCTTCAATAGGGGAAGGAAAAATGCTGTTCATCCTGCCCACCGACATTTGGCAATGAACTCTCATCAATAGTTCCAGAGCACGACCTGGGGACCATTCAGAAAGACTAGCTCTTATTCTGTGTGTTCAACCCTCCTTTAACAGCATGAGGTGCCAGTAAGCTCTTGACATGGAGAGTAGGGCCCTAGAACCCTGAGGGATAGTAAAAAGATCCTAGAGTACGAAAGATGCTCCCACTTATTTCCCACCAGGCCTGTACTTAGGTGAGGCTGGGTGGACCAGTTCAGGATTTCCCTTACAGGCAGGACTGTGGTGATCATCAGGTCTGCTCCCCAAATATCCCTGGTCCTCTCCTTCTAGTCTTATGGTGGAATTGCTCTTCCTGGCTATTTGTGGTTGGGAGAGGCTATATGACTAGTTCTGGCCTATGAATTGTGAGCAAAGTGATGTGTATCACTTCCATGACA